GCTGAGGATTTGCAATTCTTTTGTCATTTCGCCATCATTTCCAGTTTATACATAATACAGATTAAGGAACAGAGCACACATAAAAACATTTTTTTTAAATTCTACATATATTTAGGTAAGAGTGGGGAAGATTATGATGGATCAGATAGTAATTCCCTAATTAAAATATTACTAATATTTTCACCTATTGCTTTCCAAGTTAAGTATTTCCATTTTGTGACTTGGGAAACAAATTGACATGAGATGACAAAGTCTCAGTACAGTGGACAAGATTACTATTTTTTTTAGGTTTATTCATCAATAACCAACTAGAAAATTATAATTTCTAAAATAGTCAAATTAGAGAAAAGTATACAATTCGTTAAAGTTAAAGATTTATTTTCTAAGGTTTTTAAGCCATACAGCTATAAATTAATAAATTGTATTGTCGGACCAGAGTAAATCAATTAATTGTTCTCACCAGGATCTCATAGGAATTGACATGATTGATCAATCCATTGATTGTCTTTGGAAGCATGTGGATTTTACATGCCTCTGCGAGAACAATTGATGGACCTCTCAGTAGAATATGGAACCTGGACCTTTCTGGGAATAATTTGACCAAGATAAAAACTATAGCTAACCTTTCTGTCATTCAAAAGATATTAAGACTTTCAGATTTATGAACCCAGGACAGGAGTTGCCATGTATGGACCAGATTGGGTCATTTCAGGGACATGCCTCCTTATGGCCTTATGCTTCCCTTCCTCGACACAGCTAGCATTGTAGTAATTATATAGTGCTAAAATCAGCCCAGCAGTTCACTTTGCGTTTTTCTATTGGTATTATTTAATAACACTGATGGAATTAATATTTAGCAATGTATATTATTGTACAATTGCCCATCACAATGGAAAATGTAATTTCTAGGGTGATTTCATAAATCAAGACAAGTTACGGCATAGGCGGAACAGCTGACTGAGGAACCTCAAGAGAAGTGAAATGCGTTTAGGAATTTCTTTGTACAAGTGTACTTTATTTGCCTATATTATGTTTTATTTGAAATGTTTAATTATATGTTTTTGCACAATAAATTTAGTAGTACTTTATAAGTCCTCTGGAGCCTCAATAATCTTCATTGGGATGGTACCATCCCCTCTGTATTGGCACTATACCTGTTAACCTCAGAGCCAGGATTTTAAGGCTCTATGTAAGGTGAACATAATACCGATTTTATACTTTTATGTTTTTTTTTACACATTGAATGCCTCTCTCTCTTTTATATTTGCCAGAGTGAGTATCAGAATGGAGGAGTGGTGTCATGCTTCTCTAAGAGCATAAAAACATTTTTTACGGAGCCAACACATATAAGCTCCTTTACATGTGAGTGACCCAATTTTCAAAAACAAATATTCAAATGTAATTACTATCTGCACTATTTCATCTGTCCTCTACATGTGTCGTTATTAAATGTTTTTTGTTTCTGTTTTCTATTATCATTTGTTGGTATATTAGTTGTACAGGTTGATTGGGTTCTTTTGTCTTTTACCACCTTAAATGACTCTTGACTTTTTTTTTTACTGATGTTTGGTGTGTTTAGGGCCTTTCACTACTTTTGGTTTATACTGAGCGATTGTATTGAAAATACTTTCTTTTAATGTGAGGGGCCTGAACTCACCACCTAAACGTAGATTGTTGTTCAGGGAGGTGAAAACCCAGAGGTCTGATGTCCTTTTTCTTCTGGAGACACATTTCAAGCATGATAACATTCCTTCAACTATGTTAAAACACTATCCTCTTCAGTTCCATTTCACATTTAGATCGAAGTCCAGAGGTGTTTAAATAATTTTTCATAAGGCTTTCCATACTGACGAAGTGACCACTGATCAGGATATGTCACAGATAAAGGTAAATAAAAGGTTAAAGCCTTTACCTTAAATAAGTCTGTTTGGGTAAAAAGCTAAATTCTTTACTTCTGCTTCTGTCAGCAATTTCTGCAGCTGCTTCTTGAAATGTTACTTTTTGTTAACCTTGGTATTTTAACAGCTTAGATAAGACGTTCTCAAATAAGCAATTGTCCTTTGTTTTCACACACACATGCTCAGTTAAAAGTAATTGTTGCTTCTTTTTATGTACACATGCGAAGTAGACTAATGCCATTTTATATATGCAATGATTTTTGAACTACAACGATGTAAGCCTGTGGTTTTATTATCGGTTCTCCCGAGCGCTCGAACACCTAATTAGAAGCCTCTGGTTATCTCTTAGATGATTCATCCATTGTAATTTTCTATTTCACTTAATAATGTGGTTTACACTTTGGTTAATGTGTACTTCCCTAATTCTAGGCAATATAAATTTCTGAAGAAAATTGTCACAAAAGTTTCCAAGGATGTCAGAGGTAGATTAATAACTGGTTCAGATATGAATTACATATAGAGGAATCTCTCTAACCAAACCCTAGCAGATCATGGAGACTAAGTGACTATCTGGTCACTAATATGGAAAATAAGTCACTAGCTGAGAAAGTGCTTACTGAATACTATGGGGACAATTTGACTCCAAATATATCAATATCTTCATTATGGAATGCCCATAAAGCTGTCTTACCAGGTCATTTTAAACAGTGGCCTTCTTATTTGAAGAAAATTCAAACCAAAAACTTAAGGGAGCTAGAAAAGGAACTGTATAATCTAAATCAAGCAAACATTTGGCCCTTCTCCCTCTCTTGTTGCAACATTTCTGATGTTAAAAGTAAAATTGATACTATTCAGTTGGAGCATACAGCCTTGATGTTAAAGAGACTTAAGCAATTATTTTATTCTAAAGATAATAAGGCTTCCACTTTGTTAGCCTCTTAGCTGCGACATAGACTCTCTCAGTCCAGGATTGAGCATTTATTGACTAAAGATGGTTTAAAAGTGACTCTTCCAGTCATAATAAGTAATACCTTTGCTGCCTACTATAAAAAACTTTACAATTTGGAATTTGATCCTAACATGCAGCAGCCTACCATGGAAAACATTAGCTGTTTTCTGGATAAAGTCCAGCTGAAGCCAATTTCAATTGATACATTAAATAAACTAAATTCTCCTATATCTCAAAAAGAAATTGTGGATGCAATTGCCATGATTCCTGCTGGCATAGCTCCGGAACCGGAATACGATGGCATATTATAAGTTCTTCTCTAGTGTTTTGGTCACCCATTTATCAAACTTATTTTATTATTATTGGTCATCTGGTGAGATACTGGAGGAGGAATTATGTGCAAAAATTATTACATTGCCCAAACCTGTTAAAGTGCCCAATGCTTGTCCAAATTATCACCCAATTTCATTACTAAACTAAACTATATTCTAAAATATTGGCTAATCATCTTGCCCTTACTTGATTAACTATGACCATTGGGATTTGTTTTAAACCATCAGGCCCAAGATAGTACAAGACGTTTCATAAATGTGATTCACCAAATTAAATTAAATCATACACCTTCTTTGCTCTTATCTTTAGATGCGGAAAAGGCGTTCAATAGAATTCATTGGGGTTTCTTCAAAAAGGTTATGTCACGTTTTAACATTCCTGATTCTTTTATTGGGGCTGTGTTTGCTTTATACTGTAGCCCAACTGCTCAAGTATCTGCAACTGGGTTTGTTTCTGATAGTTTTTCTCTATCCAATGAGACCAGACAGGGGTGTCCATTGTCGCTGCTTCTTTTTTTGTGCTGGTGATGGAACCCTTGGCTGTGGCAATAAGGCAATGTGCAGATATAGAGGGCATTGCAGTAGGCGATAGAGAACATAAAATAGGTCTCTTTGCGGATGACATTATGTTATCTCTTAAAAATCACTCGACCTCGATTATAGACATTATTGTCTATCCTGCAAGAATTCTGCAAAATTTCTTATTAGAAATTGAACACTAATAAAATCCAAGCACTCTCATTTTTTGTCCCATGGCATGAACTGGATGCTTTAAAAGCTACTTTTAACTTTAACTGGAGAGATTCCTATATTTCTTATTTGGGCATTAATCTGTGCAACAACCAGTCAAAGATGCATACTAATAACTTAGCAAAAATCTCTTAGGGATGATATTAAGAGGTGGTATAGACTTGATATTTCTTGGTTTGGAAGGATTAATTCGGTCAAGATGACTCTCCTTCCCCACATGTAATATTTTTCAAGAGCAATTCCCTTAACTATTCCTTCCTCCTTTTTTGGAAAGTTCATTCTGCCTTACTGACATTCATATGGAATAAGAAACCGAGCAGGATTAAATTGGCTATTTTACAAAAGCCCAAAACTAGTGGAGGTATGGGTTTGCCGACTAATGTGGCTATGGCACTTAAATTCAGCTTGGTGCATGGTCGTCCCCTGGGGCTCGAGATGGAGGAAATGTTACCTACTCTCATCAAAGATGTGTTATGGTTGCCTCCAGCTCAGCGACCGTGGGTGGCGAACATGTTTCCAGCTACCAAAGCCACTATTAAGGATTGGGATGTGTTATATAAAAACCCTTCTACTACCTGGTCCAGAGCTACCCCCTTGTCTGTGTTGCAACCTGCATTACCTGTTCTGGACATGGACTATTGGCTTTCCCATTGTCATCTGTATTAATGATTTATTTTTGTCTAATTCTTTTTTATTTTTTGACCTTTTACATGCCAAATTTGGTCTGGCCCCTGTACATAGACAGATGGTTGATTTAATTAGTGAACATTTTAAAGTTTCTGATCGGGTCCTAGAGAAAAGATTTTTCTCTATGTGCTATGCCTATTTTGCTGGGATTCTTGATCCAAAATTAGACTATATGACAGGATGGGAACGAAAACTGAACACGGAGTATAGTGTCGAGGAGTGGCGTTTTTTGAAGCTCATTATAAACTTCTCTTCAGGCTCTTTAAACAACATTTATCTAGAACTAATGCATGTTGGAGGGAGTGCGAGCAGGTAGGTACACTATTCCACATGTTTTGGTCTTGTCCTAAGCTGAACACCTACTGGACTAACATTCATACACTAATGCACACCATTACAGATCAGGTCTATACTAGTACACCAGAATTGTGTCTCCTGAAGAAGCTTCCAGACAATTTATCCAAGTCTACAGAAATTATCTTGACTCATCTCTTGGCTTCGTCAACTTCAGGTCTTGCTCGGTATTGGAAGTCTGATACCATTTCATCTATGACTGAGGTATTGCGCAATGTTTTTGAAGCCAAGAGGTGTGTGTTGGCCTATAGGACAACTTCTGCTGCTGTGGACTTACTGAAACATGAATGAACACTCTGGGAAGAGGGAGTCAGGGGCTGTTATGGCCTATATCTTTTTCATTAGACCTGCACCAGATGGTAAAATATCATTATTTTGATTGTATTTTTTAATAAATATTCCAACCTTTTAAGACACATATGACATTTTAATTTTTCCACTGTTATATATTGCTATTAAAATTCTGCTTTAATATATACTTAAAATATATTATTGGATGATAGTTATTCATTGTATACCCCTCATTTTTTTGGTTATGATTATTTTCTCTTCTGTATTGTTCTTATCTTCTACTCTGTTAGTTAAATTGTTATCACACACAAGGCTTCTGCAGGCTCTAGCAGGCAGTTAACAGAGCAAGAGGAAAGAACTTGAAACACACTGTGCAATGAGGAAAGCTAAACAATGTTGTCTATTTTTCAGTAAGTGTGTATGGAGGTTGCAGAACAGAGGAAGGAATCATAGGAAGGAATCATGGAATTGTATATGTTAATGTGCAACCTGTTTGTGTTTGGTGGCAATGATCTCCAAAAAGGTATAAAGGATTGTGGAATGGTATGATTTTGTCACTTGAATGGTCATTCCCGTTTACTTGACCCATACGCCAAAACCTACCAGTTCACCCCTGTGTAATTAAATATGCTAGGCTGTCTATTATGCATGGCAAAATTGCCAGGGAAGAATTTAAAGAAGCACTATAGGGTCAGGAACACAAACAAAAACCAAGATCTAGCCACCCTGGTCCCCTCATGTCTCCCTAAAAATAGTAAAATCTTACTTGCATTCAAATCTGGAGCTGTTGGCTTTGTCCCTGTTTCCTTTAGACCTGCCCACTGTCTGCTGACATCAGCAGAAGTGGTAGCCTGGTCCAATCACAATGCTTCCCCATAGGATTGGCTGAGACTGACAGAGAGGGGGCAGAGCCAGCACAATTCAAACACAGCCCTGGCCAATCAGTATCTCATCATAGAGATGAATTGAATCAATGAATCTCTATGAGGAAAGTTCAGTGTCTGCATGCAGAGGGAGGAGATACTGAATATTTGGATGCATTTTAGGCAGCCATGACCCAGGAAGGATCTCTAACAGCCATCTGAGGAGTGGCCAGTGAAGTTATCACTAGGCTGTCATGTAAACACTACATTTTCTCTGAAAAGACAGTGTTTACAGCAAAAAGTCTGAAGGTAATGATTCTACTCACCAGAACAAATTCAATATGCTGTAGTTGTTCGTGTGACTATAGTGTCCCTTTAATGTTTTGATAGATACTCTTTTGTTCATGAGATATTTGTCAGCAATCTAAAAAAAGTAAATAGATTGGATGATGCAGGGCTGTGGGTTGGAAAAAAAGTCCTTCATTATTATTTTTCCCAGGACAAAACTTGTCAGGCCTACCCTTATAGATGTATTTTCTAAGCTTTTCAAATGGCTTAATATTTTTGAATAAATATTTTAAATGATTTAATATTTATAAAAATGATTTGATATGTTTTGATTTACTGAAATATTATTTTATATATGATTTTTTTTTTACATTTTTATATAAATAATTTTAACAATTAGCAGAGGGGCTGTATTTTCTCTGATATATATGAAGATAAAATAATTTGCTATTTCTGTTCCTAAGGTGTATGCTTTTGTACGTTTTTTTTTTTTTAATATGATAATACGCCTTTATGCCCTGCGTTACCTATTGTAATCTTAATTGTAATTGTTGGAACATGTTGGTCTTATAAAATGTTATTTCCTCTAATACTAATATTAATAAAAATTGATTTGCAAAAAAAAAAAAAGAAAAACTAATTGTAAAATGTATCCAAAATATTAAATAATCTGAAAAGCTTTTAATATTTTTGCATACGTTTTTCCAATGATTCAATATACAGAAGTCACCATTAAATCCTATAAGAATTTTTGCAGATAAATCATTTGGAAAGGATTTTATAGCAGTATTGAATCATTTGGGAAGCCTATTTAATCGAGGCCTATGTCTGTAAAGAAAGTAAAGACTTGAGCAAATTAAAAGCATTCCTAGATCGGGTATTTAAATTACTAAACGTTATACAGAATATATCAGGTCATATGACCATTTTATGTAACGTAGATCCTATTTTTTGTGAAATATGTGCCTGCATGTATTTTTGAGAGATTTTTTCTGTGCTGTATCCTAACCACAGTTTTTACTGAGAACAAACAACTCGCTTGGAATTAATGGGATTAGTATTCGATGGAATATTGAACAACCCTTAATTTTTTTTTAAACATGGTGATTAATGAACCGATCAAGCTTTAAATGCGTCAACTCAAGATATAAAAAAATAAATCTGCAATCCAGAAAAAAATGCAATACTTATGCAATTCGTATGCTGAAATGTATCATGTCCTTAAACCAATGCACAACTGTCATTGAATACAATAATGTAAGTCAATTCTATGCCCTGTGGCTTGACTCTTTAGCAGTTCTATATTCCATTGTCAGAGATAATGTCTTACCCTTGTCATGCCTCTAACCTGTAGATGCTGTGTTAAACATATGACTCTCATTAAGTACCCAGAATGAAAGTAGTTGGAGGCTGATAAAGTCTAATATAGCAATACTATCGTCAGAGATTAATCACACATGTAAGGATTTAACAAGATTTAGACACAGTTATGTGGTTTTAACACCTTCAATACAAAGTTGATTTTAGAAACATGTGAAGCAAATATAACACCATACAGTTACGAGATAACAGCAGGTTCCAGTATAAAATCAGCAGTTTTTTTAATATTATTAAAATATATATATATATATATATATATATGCTTACATTATTCATGATTTTTTGCAGAAATAAAATGGCATGAATACTGACAATCTAGCAACAAACGTGAGTTGGCAACGGATGTAAGGGGGCAATGTGGCTGTAAAATGTGTACTATGTGGGTAGTGTAGCATTTCTGTATAATGTGTTAATATGGTAAAATATGGCATTGAGCATTAGGCAAAACCAGAATGTTGTACGGCATTGGTCTATGCATTACACCTCACAATGACCCCTGAGGATTCATAATATCCTTCTTACTCAGCAGTGGCGGAACTAACATAGAGGGAGGCCATGGTGCAAAAAAATTTTGTGCCCCCCTATCACAAGGATGGCCCAAAGCTGGTAGATCTCCATCTGTCATACAACTCCTACAATGCTTTGACAGCTGGGGATCTACTATTTTCCCATGCTTGCAGGGTTATATTTAGCACTGAGCAGTGTTTGTGTGTTTAAATGTAAGTATGTTTTTGTACAAAATATGTTTGTGTGAATGTAGTGTTGGTGTTTGAATGCAAGAATGCATTTGTGTCTAGTGCGGTTTTTGAATGCATTGGTGTGTAATTGTATGTAATTGTATGTAATTGTATTTATATATACTTTTTTTAATACAGAGATGTGTTTGTATGTAGTGCTGACGTTTGAATGCAGGGGTGTTTGTATGTAGCGTTGACATTTGAATCCAAGGGTGTGTTTGTGGGTAGTGTTGGTGTTTGAATGCTGAAACAAATGCATATACACATATACACTGCCACACACAGATACACAGACAAATACGCACATTGAAACACATGCAGATATACATATATAGATGTATATAGATATGTTTATAAATATATATGTATATATATAAAGCAAAAAGGAAAGAGATGCACTCTCAGGTCTTTGTAGAAAAAAACTTGATATTATTTAATAACAGGTAACATACATCTGATCGACGTTTCGACCTCTTCAGGTCTTCCTCAAGATATGTATATATATATATATATATATATATATATATATATACAGTGGAACCTTGGTTAACGAAAAATTCGGTTTACGAATGAGAATTCGTAAAAAAATTAAAAATACGTCGGTTTACGAATTTTTTTTGCAATGCGAAACAAGTGTCCCAATTTATAGCTCCACCCCCTGCATACTGGAGTCTGGGTAGCACATGAGTGTGGAGTGTGGAGGTGTTGGAGAAGTTTTGGAGCTATTTGCAGCAAGTTGTGGAGCCATTTGCAGCAAGTTTTGTAGCCTTTTTGGTGCATCTCAAGAGGTGGAAAGGTAGGGAGCTGAGCTTAGTTGTTTGCATGCCTTTTACTGTGTGTTCTGCATTGTGGGGTGATTTCCATACCAGCTCATGTGCTGTGCATGCCTGTTACTGTGTGTTTTGCATTGTGGGGTTGCTTTCCATGCCAGCTCATGTGCTGTGCATGCCTGTCACAGCTCATATGCTGTGCATGCCTGTTACAGTACTGTACTGTGTGTTTTGCAATGTGGGGTTGTTTTCCATGCCAGCTCATGTGCTGTGCATGCCTGTTACAGCTCATGTGCTGTGCATGGCTTTTACTGTGGTTTCCATGCCAGCTCATGTGCTGTGCATGCCTGTTACAGCTCATCCGCTGTGCATGCCTTTTACTGTGGTTTCCATGCCAGCTCATGTGCTGTGCATGCCTTTTACTGCCATGTGGGTGTAAAGCATTTTTTTTTTTGCATACTTAGTGACGGTGATGTCATGGCACCCAAGAAAGCAGCGAAAGCTGGGAAGAGGAAGAAGGAGATGATTCTGCTTGAGGACAAGAAAGAAATCATCAGGAAGCATGAAGGAGGAATGTGACTGACTGACCTTGCCAAAGAGTATGGAAGGAGTGCATCCACAATTGGTACAATCCTAAAAATGAAAGAGAAGATAAGTGGGAGAGATGCAGCCAAGGGAGTCACCAGGGTCTCCAAGCAACGGCCACCTGTTCTGGAGGAGGTTGAGAAGTTGCTCCTGCTCTGGATTGAACAGAAGCAGCGTGCAGGGGACTCAGTGACCAAGGCGATCATCTGCGAAAAAGCCAAGGCCTTGCACGTTGACCTCCTCAAACAACAGCCAGGAACGTCAGCAGATGCAGAAGGCTTCAAGGCCAGCAGGGAGTGGTTCAAAAGGTTCAAGACCAGATCTGGCATCCACAGTGTGGTCAGGCATGGAGAGGCTGCAAGTTCCGATGCTGCTGCAGCTGAGGAATTTGCTACGGAGTTCCTGGAGGTCATAGTTTCAGAGGGCTACTTTCCTCAGCAGGTCTTCAACTGCAACGAGACTGGACTCTTCTGGAAGAGGATGCCAAAGCGTACCTGTTAAGACACCCCTGGCACAGAGGAGTGAAACCGCTGTTTAGTTAAGCTTCCCCTTCCTTAGTAATGCAGGCTCAATTCGTGTATACCTCAACCGCACGAACTGAAGCCAGGGGAATGCGCCAATCTCCCGAACGGTATCCGTACGGGTTCTCCAAACTCCCGAACAATAAACGGACCGGTGTTCGCATGCCTAGACGAATGAGAAGGGCAGTCGGTAGATTCAATGGTGTTCGGTAGAAAAAGTGTCAGTTTTTAGTTCCATAGAATCTGCGCCGAACACCGCTGGTCTTTCGCGTGTTCCAAAATGGCCGCCGCCTCATGATCGGCATACGAACGACGACCTACCGGCATTCGGTTGTAATTAAGAGGTGTCTGCAGTTAACCACAACATTCTAATTGGGGCCGAGAGGTTAACCAGCAGCACACTTCTCTTCTGGGTGGCCGTCCGTTTGGTAGTTTCATTCGGTATGAGTTCAAAAAGACGAATAGGGGCATACGGACAGGCAATTCCGTGAAGGGAGGCAAACTAGATGAACCAGCAATACTAGTCCTACAGATGAATCTGTCACAGTACCTTCATCACAGAAGAGGAGACCTCGTTGCCTGGCCACAAGCCGATGAAGGACCGTCTCACCCTCCTGTTCTGTGCCAACGCCAGTGGGGACAGATCAAGCCCCTGCTTGTGTACCATTCAGAGAACCCATGGGCCTTCAAGAAACACAAGGTGAACAAGGAGCAGTTGAGCGTTTTGTGGCAGTCTAACCCAAAGGCTTGGGTCACACGCCTCTTGTTTGTGAAGTGGGTCAATGCGGTTTTTGGTCCTGCTGTGAAGAAGTACCTTGTGGACAATAACCTGCCACTCAAGGCCATGCTGCTCATGGACAATGCTCCTGCCCATCCTCCAGGCCTCGAGGAAGACTTGCTGGAGGACTTTAATTTCATCAAGGTCATGTTCCTTCCGCCTAACACCACTCCACTACTCCAGCCAATGGACCAGCAGGTCATCTAAAATTTTAAAAAAACTCTACACAAGGGAGCTTTTCCGGCGATGCTTTGAGATTACAGATCGCTCAAGCCTCACCCTCCATGAATTTTGGAGAGAGCATTTTGACATTGTGAGCTGTCTGCAGATTATCACCATTGCCTGGGCCGGGGTCAGCCAGACAAACCTAAATTCTGCTTGGCGCAACCTGTGGCCAGACTGCGTTGTGAAACCTGCCTCCAGTGCTTCTGCACCTGCACCAGAGTCAACAGTGTTGAAGGAAATTGTTTCCTTGGGGAGGACCATGGTCCTGGAGGTGACTGAGGAGGATGTCTACGAGCTGGTGGAGGAACACGACCATGACCTAACCACCGAGGAGCTGGTGGAATTGCAGAAGGAGGCGATGTAGGAGCAGATCGCATTTGAGGAGGAGGAGGAAATGAGTGAGGAACAGCTCTCTTCCACGGAACTCAAGGAGGCATGCCAAATGTGGGTAAACCTACAGACTTTTGTACAGCAGCACCACCCAGATAAGGCTCTAGCCCATAGACTTGTAAGCAGTTTTGACACAGACATCATGTCCCCTTTCCGAGGGATGCTTAAAAGGCGCCAGAGGCAGCAGACAATGGATAGGTTCCTACAAAAACAGCCTAGATATGAAAAAGAACCTGCTTGTGTTATTGCTGCCCAATTGCCCTCGTCCTCCTCATTTTCCAAAAAGTGTTGAAATTTTTTGAAATTTTCCATGTTTTCCCTGTTGACGTGTGACTTATGTACAGTTGAAGTATACTGTACCATGTTACCAACAGTCTGCCATGTTTTAAAAGTTGATGTGTGATGTTTTAAAACATAAAGTTGGATGTTTGAAATGTTATTGCTTGATTAATCATGTCCCTGTACAGTATTTATGCCTTTAAAGTGCACTTGATAAAGAGCTTTGAACAGATAAAATACTTGATTTGACTTTTTTCTCACCTCCGGAACGAATTAATTGGTTTTCAATGCATTCCTAAAGGGAAACCGTGTTTCGGTTTACAGATTTTTCGCAATACGAAACGTCCCGGAGAACGCATTAAATTCGTAAACCGAGGTCCCACTGTATATATATGCAGATACACGCTCTGACACACATACAGATACACACACTGACAGACATACAAATAAACAGACACACAGATACACACATTGACACACATAGATATACATATTGATACAGTCACATATACACACAGACACACATACAGATACACACACTGAAAGACATACAGATACACAAAATACAAATACACAGAGACATACACTGATACACAGATGCACACACTGACAGACATACAGATACACACACACTGACACACATACAGATACACAAACACACTGACACAAAGACTGACAGACATACATATATAGAAACACAGACTGACAGACATACAGATACACAGACACACACACTGACAGACAAACATAAATACACACACACACTCACATCAAACTTTACACTTTCATAGCCACCCTCCAGTTTCCTGCCTCTTGCGGGAGAGTGGCTTCCCAGAGGTGCACTAGCAGTTGGAGGCTGTTGTGAGCTAGGGGGCCCAGCCCCCTCCTTTCTTCCTCCTCCTCTGTCCCAGCATGGCTTCTGTCTCTTTGGTAGGCCCTCACTTCCTCCCAAGCTGCCGATAAGAATGCCCATCTGTAGAGTTGAGCGGACACCAGGATGTTCGGGTCCAGCGGGTTCGGTCGAACTTTGAAAAAAGTCCGGGTTCGGGCTCAGACTTGACCCCGAACCTGAACCCCATTGAAGTCAATGGGGACCCGTACTTTTGGCCACAAAAATGGCTCTAAAAAACTCCTGGAAAGGACTAGAGGGCTGCAAAAGAAGGTAAAATGAAGGTAAAGAAGGTAAAAGAAGGTAAAATGGGGGTAAAATGCCCTGCAAACAAATGTGGATAGGGAAATCACTTAAAAATAACATAAAATAAGCAGCCACTTAGTAGTTACCATGGTATTAGGGAGCTATCTACCAAAAGGCTGAAAGACCTAAATTGGTCACCTAAATTGGTCTTTCAGCCACATTTACTAATACTAAGTAAAGATTACTTATTATTAGTAAATTCAGGCCCTACTCGCTATCCTGCGAGTAGGGGCGTGTCTAGTAAACAGTGAGTAGTCAGTGGCTGCTCACTGTAAAAAAACAAAAACAAAACCTTTTGCCCCACTCCTGTGCGACAGGTGGGGGCCTTAAATAAGAATGTGGAGAGGGAACCTACTGTCCTCTCCCCCGGCCCCCACCCCTGAGCGGTGGATGGGGACCATAAATAAAAAAGGGGGGACATAATGTCCTCCCCCCTGGCCCCCACCACTGAGCGGCGGGTGGGGGCCCTAAATAACAATAAGGGTGGCCTAATGTCCCCCCACCGGCCCCCACCTCTGCGTGGTGGGGCCCTAAATAACAATAAGGGGGGGACCTAAGGTCCTCCTCCCGGCCCCCACACCTGCGCTCCCACCCCTGCATGGAAGGTGGGGCCCTAAATAACAATAAGGGGGGACCTAAGGTCCTCCCCCTTGGCCCCCACCCTTGCGCGGCGCGTGATGGCTTCTACGGACACATGAGTCAAACGCTTGTTGATTGGCTGCCCTGCAGCCTTTCAAAACGCGTCATTAAATTGCCAAACTCCGAACTTCAACCCGAACATACAGTGATATGTCCGTGTTCGGGTGCGGGGTCCAAAAAACGTAATGTTCGCTCAACTCTACCCATCTTCTTAAACATGCCCATCGCGTGGCCCTAAGAGCATGGGTCAATCGATGGGCCCCCACTACACCAGCTGCACTGGCGGTAATTCCGCCACTGTTACTCAGTCATGATTTAAATAAATAAACAGAATTAAACATTTTTGTTTTTTAAAAATAATTTAATATGTAGCCAGTGGGATTAATGCACATTTAACTAGAAGATATATACTGGCAGCTAAAGAAAGGGGAGGAGTAAATATAAGACAGGTGTGTTCAGAACAGGTAAGCAAATATATGTGCAACATTTTCCAAACATGGTGAAACTACTCAGCGGTAAAGATAGAATGTAAAAAATAGTTTTAACATATATAGATCCATTAGAATATTCTGAAAGTAAACATACTGACACAAAAGTATCATTTTTAGTTATAAAAACATACATACATATGGCTGCTTTCCAGACCCCATCCCCCTCTCACCAGAGCACAAAATAAACTGGTGGCTAGATTAGCGCTGGCCACCAGACGGATGATAGCAGAACAATGGGGCAACCAGGACACACCCCAACTAACCACGATGATCAACAAAACACAAGAAACCACGGAAATGGACAAATTGTCAGCCCTACTACATGATACAACACGAAACTTCCATAAGGTATGGGACCCATGGGTCCTACACCACCTACTGGCACTATAAACGGAGGACCCAGGAACGAGACGTGACAGACCCCCTACCCGACACCAACCTCACAAGTGAAGGCACAATCATAAGACTAGAGAATC